ATACAGTACATATGAATTATATTGGTGCACTTTAAGTGTATTCATTTACTAGTCAATTTATATATTTCCGCTTTTATTTTTAATTATGTCAGTTTTCCCACAGGTGATGTTATCTGAAAGCATGAAGCAAAAATACCTGGTACTGGTATAACCTGAGATGTTAAAATATATATACTGTATATACATACAGTACATATGAATTATATTGGTGCACTTTAAGTGTATTCATTTACTAGTCAATTTATATATTTCCGCTTTTATTTTTAATTATGTCAGTTTCGGTCCTCCGTACAGCAGAAGCCTGATAATCACCCTTTTATTTACTAGTCAATTTATATATTCATTCAAATCAGGTGTGTTTGAGCAGAGAAAAAGGTAAAACATGCAGGGCTGCGGCCCTCGAGGACCAGGATTGCCCACCCCTGCTATAGAGTAACACTAGCCGAACAAAAATGATTATTCTCAGTGTAAAATGCTACTCATGTAAAGTACTAATTCTCAAAAACTGTACTTAATTACAGTACTCAAGCAAATGTACTTCATTACTACCCACCTGCTTACCTTGCACTGCACCTTTTATGCCAGATTCATGTGGTGTTTTGAATAACTCCGCTACTTCCACGCCAATGTTTAGCTTAATTTCCTTTAAAATTACTGAGTTAGTCATTTTTGTTTTAGTTAATGCTGGCTAGCTGTTGCAACATTCTTAATCAGTAATAATTACTTTCTGAAAGTTTCATTATGCTCAAGTTTACAATGGGTTTTACAAGTTTTACTCTTGCAATATCTGCCGTGAATGACCCTCAACTACAACTACACCAGAAATTAGCACAGAATCAACTAAGTTGTAGCCACTTTTGTGTTTTCTAAGGTCAGTTAGATGTGGCACCTATCATAAATTAAGCTGTTTCCAAATGGTAATCAGTTGTAGATGTACACTCATTGATTTATTTCTGGACAGAAAACACTACTTTCCACCTTCATCTTTTAGAAGTGCATCATAACTACTGACATGAAACATCCAGGAGCTGCAGGTGGTCCAGTCCCTTTTGCATCATCCGGATAGGTGCAGTCAGTCTTTGCAGGCCAACATCTGTCACATTATTCCCACCGATGAACAGCTGGATCAGGCTACTAGGAAGGAAAAACACAAGTATTAGTAGTGCATCACCTACACCTCTTCTTTTTATGAATAGGCAGGAAAAAAAGACGTACTATGCCAAAGATGTGGATGTTAGATGCTGGAATAATTCATGATTGTCTCCCAGTCTGCAGCCAAACAAATCCAGAGACTTCAATCTATGAAATGTTTTTATTTCATCCATCCGCTCATGCAGGAGTGGAAATCTGCAGGATTGGAAAAAGGCACATGAAATGCTGCTTTGTGTGACAAATAAAACCAGACTAGCAGGTACCAGAGCAGAGGAGGAAGATAACCTACCTATTTCGTAGACAGAGTGACTCAAGCACCATGACCCCATAGGCGTCACTGAATAACTTTAGGGCTTTCTGGGAAATGTCTGGGTTTAGAAATATACGATTCTCCTCTACTGCTGCAAAAAGTCTGTCACCTATTTGCTCTGGGAAGCCAACCAAGGAGTCCACATGTTGGATGTTGTCAGCTACAAACAGTAGAGTGATGTCAAACAGAGATTTGGTGGTGTATCTGAGGCTTCCCTCTTCATTGTAGGTGAACATAAAATGCTCTTTTCTCAGCACAAACGGGTTTGTCCTCCTGCATGACGATGCTGGCTTTGGCTGTGCTAGAATGATGTCACCGACACGATGAAGGCTGCCTCTTTCTCGAATGTAAACAGAGCTGTTCTCCATGACAGAAAAATGTCAGCTAATACTTGAAGCGTAGCAAAAGCAAAAACAACATAAATGTACAACGATACCATTGACGGATTGTTTTCTAGCTTAGACTTCGACCAAAACAGCACTCTTAAATTTGATTCAGTCTTTCCTGTCTACCTTTTCTTGTCATGCTCAAAGTTTTGCACTAGTTTCTTTTTGGTAGCCATTTTGCATGGGCCGCGTTCCCCCGCCCGCTAAATTCAAAGTAAAAGTCATTAATAATACATGTTCGTTAAATACAACTGAAAATCTTCCTAAATAAAAAGTAATGCATAGAACAAAGTAAAAAGCCGTGACAACTTATCTGACGCAGCATAGTCAAATACACAACGACTTTAAAATAATAAAACCCTTATTTTGAAAATATCGAGAAACAGGAACGTGGCTTGTTTACATGGCTGTCACTTCCTTCTCAAAGCTAACCTAGCTAACTGCAGTTTTCCTGAAAAAATTGGTAAGATTACGTGAAGTAAAGCAACAGCTTTGTAATATATTCGTTCACAATAATTACTTTGTCTATCTGTGCTAGTGTTAATGTTAGATAATGATAATCACAGCCGCGGTTGTTGTTGTTGTTTTTTTTACGTTGAAACTTTCACCTCACTAAGCTAACTCTTCATGTGTTTACAACGTGTTAAACCAGCATCTATGACAACTTTCTAAAATGGTTGTTCGTTCTTTTACAGGTTTCAAAAAGTAAACTCACCTCTGTTTGGATTAGCAGCGTTGTAGTGAAAGTGAATGGCGTCAAACAGAGATCCATTTCAGTTCCAAGGTAGGTCTCCTCTAGAGTAAGTCTAGACTAGTGTATATTGTAAAACTAAACTCTGTCCCCGCACCCAAAAAAATAATAATCTCTATCTCAAAGTAAATACAACAACGCAGATATGTTTTGTAATTTCCAGTCTAGAATTAACTGAATACATCCCAAAGGCAAAATAATAAAATAATAATAATAATAATAATAATAAGAAGTTATTTTTGTTTTCTTTTTAAAGTGTGTTTGATGTGAAACTTCCCTGAAAAAAACAAATTGTGTGGATACCAGCTGTTTGCATTTTTCCATTTCCTGCATTCAACTAGAATTTGAAGAGGCTGAAAATCTTCTGGACAGCCATCGAGATGCAGTCACCATCAGCATCGAGGAAGAGGATCTGAAGTCCAAGAGCCAAAGAACTGCTGTTGGTTTTTCTCCAGACCTCACTGATGAGGATCCACTTGGCTCCGATGACAAGGCAGAGGTCAGACCAACACTTGTATTTAGTGAGAAATCAGCTGTTTTTCTATTAACTAATAAATTTGGATGTTTGAAACATTTATTTGATTATGGTTGTTTTCTGCTTTCATTGAAGCTTCTTGGTGGCCAAAAGAAAACTGCCCCTTTCTGGACATTTGAATACTATCAAACATTCTTTGATGTTGAAACACATCATGTAAGACCTTTTGTCAATTACAGTTAAATTTTGTACTGTATAAAAATGCTGCAGATCAATTGTAGCTTTGATTTAGTAAGTAAAGTAAGTAATTTAGCTACAACTGTACTTGTTTCTTACATTGTCTTCAGGTAAAGGAGAGGATCATTGGATCAATGTTGCCATGGCCTGGAAAGAACTTCATTCAAGTTTACCTACGTAAAAATCCTGATCTTTATGGTTAGTTTTTATTTAGTTCATATTGTACAAATTATATAACTTTTCTTTCTGTACCGTCAATAGTTATTGTAATATTAAAGAAACTGGTTGTGCTGTTTGAGGAGTAATTTTTTGGTCTTTTCAGGACCGTTTTGGATTTGTACAACTCTTGTGTTTGCCACTGCCATCTGTGGAAACATATCCAACTTCCTCTGGTACCATGGCAGTCCAAACTATAAATATACCCCAGAGTTTGGAAAAGGTACGTTCTGCTGACACTACACCTTGTAGATTTAAAGACAAAAAAAAACCTATATTTTATATTTTGAAAATGAAACACTTGTGTTTTCCAGTGACCATAGCTGCTACAGCTATCTTCAGCTATGCCTGGCTAGTGCCCCTTGGCCTATGGGGTTTCCTGCTGTGGAGAAATAACAAGATCTTAAACCTGGTGTCTTATACCTTTATGGAAATCGTCTGTGTGTATGGATACTCTCTGTCAATTTACATACCAGCTGTGGTAAGACAGTTATTTTATTGTTCAGTAACTAATTAAAACAATCATTCTGCTCTTTGGCAAAATTTATCATGGCAACGTTTTTTAAATAATTTCATGCATATTATATGTATTAAATATATTTAAATATTTTTTGTAGGTTTTGATGACCATTGTTGGTTTTTGACAATCAACATGATTTGTTTTTATTCTCCTTTATTCACAATAATAATAATAATAATAATAATAATAATAATAATAATAATAATAATAATAATAATAATAATAATTATTATTATTATAATACAAATAATATTTACTTTTCACAACAGGTCCTGTGGATTCTCCCATATGAGTGGCTCAGGTGGTGTTCCATCGTGGTGGCCCTCTGCCTCTCTGGCTCAGTCCTGGTGATGACGTTTTGGCCCGCGCTCAGAGATGACAACCCCAGGGTCATCATGGCGGTTGTTTCAGCCATTGTGTTGCTCAATGGGCTGCTAGCTGTTGGTTGTAAGGTAATATTATTCACTTAGGATTGTGATCTTACATTTTGCAACTAAACTGATTGAAGGAAATGGAAAAAAACATCTGAATGCGAAAACTAGATTAAATATTTATTCTTTCTTGGCACAGTGCGTGTTCCTCTGTTCTAATCTTCTGTCTGTCCATCTTGCTTGGATAACAATGATTGACTCATTCTCAGTTGCTGTCAGTGATCTCAGCACGGCCCAGCTTTGACCCAGCTTGTTCGTGTCAATCACAGACTACATTTCGCTGCCATTTTATTATTTGCGTGTCTTGCCCTGTGCGCTTTCTGGGAAAGGAATGTACCTGGTAGGATCAAGTTAGTCCCCTCTAGAGAGACTCTTGTTAATGGAAACTGTGACCTTGCTTGCTAACTGGTGTAACAATGGGCACCTCTTAATGTGGTTGAGGACAGGTCTGCAGGCATATCGCATGTCTCGTTATGTCCATGTAATTAGTCTGCAAAGTACAATAACCCCATATCTGCAAGGTGACAAAGATGAATAGTGTCAAAGTGTTGCATTCGTTTCTATAACAAAGAAAAATCTCTTCACACGTAACGCAGTCTGGCTTTAGTTTTATGGATAATTGAGTCTGTCTTGTTTCTTTTAGTCACACTTTGACAGGTACTTTTGCTTATTTGCTTCTTGTTTTGTTTTTTTGTTTTGTTTTGTTTTTTTCTTTTCAGACCTACTTCTTCAGCAAACCAGATGTGGAAGCTCATGTTAGCAGTTCTCTTAAAACAGAGGCTGTCCAGTCGACGTTATCGACATGAATACATGGCATTGTTTGAAGGTAAACAGTGCTGACAAGGAAGCTTTTAAAGTCATGAAACTTTGTAGAAATAGACTAACTTTGCAAATGCAGAAAATACTGTTTATTTTGCACTTTAGAATCGCAATTTTATTTTAACACTTGGGTGTGGGTATTAGGTCTGCAGTGTTGTCCTTTTTTTTTAATCTGCTAAGGATCATGTTTGTGTCTTTGACCTACTAGAGTCACACACCCGACACCGGACTTCCTGAACATAATTTCTGTTTCCTAAAACCAGCATTAATCTTTTTTGTTAAATTGCAGGTTCTCCTGTTGCCTTAGTAGAGAGAATCGGGTTCCTGTGCAGATGACGTCATGGGTCGGTTGGATTTCATCCACACTTGGACATTCCAGCCCAACGCCTTGAAAAGCCAGCGTGTAAACTTGGTGCAGCAGCGTTACCATGAGATTGAAAACTGGTTTCAAGTATGTTACTTCTAATGGGATGGGATCTAAACAAAACTAAAGTTAATTGGGGGTGTAGAATTACACAACGCACGATATCTGTTGTGCTGGTGTTGTTTTCGCCTTTCTGTCGCTCATTTAAAATGTTTAAGTAGATAAGTTTGTGCAATAATGATTGCAGCACCAACACTATTTTATACGTGCATTTCTTTTACAGTATATTTCTTTAATAGGAACGGGTACGTTTATTTTATATATAAATTTAAAGTATGATTAACTATAGGTATTGGTAAGAAATTCAAGGATTTATTATCAAGTACCCTGTAAAGGTGATGGGGTGGGATTTTCTTAGTGGCCTCAACTATTGCCAAAACCTGGTTTAAATAAAATTTCAAATGATTTTGTAAATATTTTATACATAATTTGTTGTCATTATAACAAACATCTTACAATAAAGTCTGCTGAATTTCATCTCGTTTTGAAATGAGTGCTTACTGGGAAGAAATAGTTACTGTGGCACGCATTTTCTATTTATAAAATCATGCATTTTCAATGTTAAGAAAAAATAAAATTTAAATAAAACAAGAAGAAAATATAAAATCAGTTAGATTTAATGTACGTTATCCATTTTTATTAAACTCTAGTGCCCATTTGTGTCTTGAACATAGTGATGGTAATATTTTGTGCCTTGATTTAGCTATTTTAAAGCACCTTTTTGTACACTAGTTTTTGATCTTGACCTTAAATCGTCGCGGCGTTCAGCAGGCAGGCGACGTAACTCTTCTACCAGTTCTTGTCTGCTTTAGAAAATGCTAGTCCACTTCAACAATTGGACACTTTTTTACAAATTCAGGGAGAGATTGTAACCAATAGACATATTCAACATTTAAAAAAGAGTGCCTGCCCTTCAAAGCGAACACGTAGCTGCTGCTCTTCCAACTCATCTGTCTTACTTGATGTGTGATGGAGTCAACTGATAGATTGTAGTCTGTCACAGTTTGGATGCACAGCTCACCTGCAGTGGAAAATGCTGTAGCCACACAGGTTCTTAGCAAGTGGTTTGCATCATAAATAAAAGACTTATTTAGACTGGTTGTTATGGATAGGGATTAACAAGGACAGAGTTCTTAGATTAATTAACAAATAGGAAAAAAATGGGTTACTTGAAACGGTGTCAAAGGGATGGTGGCGCCATAATTAATGGTTATTCTAGCCTCAGCTTTGAATTACACAGGAACGCCTTGTCTAACAGAAAACCCTCAGAGGAATGTCACCTGTCTCATTCTTGGCCACGTAGGCAAGTGCAGTGGATTTCTCAGCACTTCATTCGTGGACTTAACTTTTGTTTCCTGAAGAAATACAGCATCAATTTTGCCTTGATTTTGGATGTGACATCTCCACAGCAATGGCCACATCAAATGGCAAGAGTGAGAAAATGTCCAAGTTTGAGATGCTTAAACTTTTGGAAACTTGCCGAAAGGAAAGAGATGATGCTTTGCAAAGAGAAAGTGTCCTCAGAGACAAACTCAGGCAGAATGAGTCGAGGGTGCGTTCAACCGAGTCTCTGAAACAGAAACTCAAGACCCTGACGGTTGACAACAAAGAGCTAAAGAAGCAAGTGAAGACTCTTCGGACTGAAATTGGACTTGAGAACAGCCCTGGTTTTCACGGCAAGACCACCAAGGATATAATCGATGATCTACACGAGAAGGAACAGGAGTGCGCCGCACTACTTGAGAAAGCTGGAAGACTTAGTCAGACCGTTGATGATTTGACAGCAAAGTTGTCAAATGCAGTCACCTCCAAGACACTTTTAGAAGACCAAGTACAGTCATTACAGCAAAATCTCAAGGACATGACAAATAATCAGCGTCGTCTGTTGAAGCTGTGGGACGACAAGAAGGGCCAGAGAGAGCAACTCGCTTTCCCTGCTATTGTTCAGAAACAATTCACTCACAAAGCCAGTCAAACTGACATGTCTATCAGCTCAAGTCAAAAACTTCCACTCAATGCTTTTGAGACCACTAAGCCATTTTCTAGGGATGGTGACAAACAAACTGCTTTGGAGAAACAACACTTTTCTTCTGTTGGAAACAGCTATATTCAGGAAAGGAAGGCTTCCGTGCACGGTGAAACTAAAGGAATTCAGAACTGACTTGGCTTATTGAGATTCAGCTAGTGTCACTTAACTTTTAGAAAGCAAAACAGAGACTTCAAACATTTATTAAACGGTTTACTTTGGTATATCTGTAACTAAAAGACAAAAAGAAAAAACATTTATTGTAAAGTTGTTCTTTGCCTTTTTCTTTTTCATCCTCAATACCTTGTGTAGTTTAATTAGTGCTGTGTAGTGGTATTTAAATTGTCATTTTTAAACATTTTTATTTTACTTGGTGTATTACTTGATACATTGGAATAATTTTATGATATGAAAAAGTCGTGGACAGCTGACAACAGGCAGGAACATGGACAGCTATTTTTCGGGGTCCTACTGAGGCCCTTTGAATGCATGTGGCGCGATGTGGGAAACTGAGGGTAAATAGTTTGGCAGCCGGGGAGCTTAAGCTCATTGTATCACCAAGTAATTTTTTTAAAGACAAATATGATGTTTTCTACAGAGACAAGTTGTTGGTTCATCCGCAAGGTGAGTCTTTATTTTTCTAAAGTAGTTTACAATTTAACTACAAAAAAAGTTTTCGTACGATGAGCTAACGTGCTAATCCCAGCACCACTTACTGCTTGATTCTACGTATTAAGTATTTTAAAACGCTAATATATTTTTAATAAGATATTACGATAATGTAGTATAAACTAACTCGTTACTAAAAATCAAGGAGTGAGAACAACCAAGCTTGAAATCAATTGTGAAAAAAAAAGGTTGTTGCTAACGCTTGCTAAAGTGTAAATCTTTTTTATAAACTGTGTTTCTGTTGTGTGTGGTTATGTAAAAACTTTGATTTTTTTAAACTGTAAAATCTCTTCAACCTTTAGCAATAAAGAGCTTACATATGTATATAAAAAATATTTGCGCTCCTCTCTTCTCTGGCAAGAGCAAAAATACCTGGTTTCTTCTCAAAAGCATCAATCAAAAGCAGAGTATTTTGGTTAGGAACAAAAGCTAAAATATGCAGTTTTATGCCTTTTTATGTGACGGAAAAACAAACAGCAGTGATGGTTGTGTAGTAACGATTGCTCTGTTCAGGTAATTTGCTGGAGAGCTACAGCCAGCATCGCTTGGTCTGTCCTCCTGTTACCACCCACCACTGCAGTTTTTGTGATACTCAGCAGGTTCAGTCTTTTTCATCCTTTCCAGACAATATCAGGTCAGTTACATTTGGTTTTGGATTTTACTAATGTGTACAACACAAGTCTTTGTATTTTATTTTTATTTTTTGTTGTGCAAACCCAGAATGTTTGTCTCTGCTGATGAGCGCCAGTTCAGTTTTCTCCCTCATACTGCTTGGTGGAGTGATCATCATGGCTGGATTCCTGACCCTGGAGTATTACACAGGTGAGTAGCAGGTAGAGGTGTGAATCACCAGCTTTATCACGATACGATATTGCATCAATATGTTTGGATGACGATTCGATATTTGTCAATATCACGAAATCTGGCACGATATGATTTTGATTCAGTTCACGTCTGCGATCGATATAATGCGATATCATATGCTCATCTAACACAATGACTGTGTTAGATGGGCATATATTGATTCACATCAAGCATATGATGACGATAAAGATCGATATTTTCATTTTGCCTCTATAACTGAATCACGATTCAAATCGATATATCAATATAGATCAATTTATCATTACACTCCTAGTAGCAGGTACTGTCAAATGAAATTGTGTATTTGTTTTGAAGGTTGTTTGTCTTGTGATTATTTTGTTGTTTGGACATTTAGAAGAAAGTGAAATGTCACAAACTAGTTTAGTAAGTGAGTTATAACGACTAAAATTTTACTGTACAATTTAATTGTGTTTTTTTGTTCTGGTTATTGAAAACACTGTTACTAAAATTGCTAAATACATCAGTATATTATTACAATAGCGATGCTGAAATGTTTTAAATCAATATTACAATTGCAAAAGACAGTTTTCTTGTAGCATGCATTCACAGTGTGTGTTTGTGTGAACTGAAAGTTGTACTAATGCAGGCCGTGGTCAAAGTGAATGCTGTTAAAATTTAATAATCTGTCAAATAATTTCCTCTACTCTATTAGTCCTTTTGTACTAAGGTTGTGCATCTGTGTTCCTTTCAGTAATCCCAACTATTGCCTGCTCAAAAATCGCATTGCTGGGTCAGCTGCTCCACCCTCGGCAGTTTATCAACTCCCTAGCCCACTGCCTCATGGGTATAATTGTAGGCTGGTGTTGTGCCATCACCATAGGTTGCAGATATGAGATGCTTGGCTACCCATGCAAAAATAGTGACGGGTAAGTGACAGCGTTGCCTCACTCCTGTTGAACTTCATGAGCATCATCTGTCATCTTACCGCTTCTTTGGTTTTTGTCTCGACAGTTATCCTCAAATGTGTGTGAATGAGTATCATCTCATCATTTTGCTGGCGGGGGCCTTTGTTGGATTTTCTCACAGTCTGCTTGGAGTGATTCACAACATAAATTACATCTCCTTTCAAACTGTTCAGGTATGTACTTGGAGTTAAAGTTTTACCATTTGCCTGACTGATTGCAAAGTCATTGACTGTGCCAACATTAATGTAAATTTAAGAACCCACCTAAAGTAGCTGAGTCTAAATAATTCAGTTAGATTTTGTAAAGCAAAAACAGCAGCATTCTGCTTCATGCTCATTTCTCTACAACTGTTACTGTTTCCTCAGCAATACAAATACTTTCGCTTCAAAGGATCCCTGCCATTGGTGGTGATGTGCAGCGCCACTCAAGCATTTTACTCTATCAAGAACTACGTTGTTTTATATTTCTTTCTAGGTAATACACTTTTTGTGTAAAGAAAATTGGTGATTTTTATTTATTGTTGATTACCATAAATGCCTTCCATGTTTTGTCCGGTTTTTGCTTCACAACTTGTAACGTGATGTGTTTTTATTTAATATTCACAGGATACATTCCAAGAGCATGGATCTGCAAAACTCTGAATCTACATTTGGACAGGTTAGTGCAAATGCATATCTGAAAATATTTATCCTTAAAGAGTAACTTACCCCCAAATTAACTTTTTTTAGCTGATAAACTGTCTAGAATGTGTCTAAAATGTTATATAGTACTGTTTCTGATGCATCTCAGTAATCCAGGTAAAAAAATCAAAAGGAAAAAAAATTGTATAGGTCCTCTGGACGGGTT